TCCCTATGAAAACATCTATATGCCAGGACCACGTCATCATATAATTCTTCGCCGACTGATACGTGGTCCACTTCCAGCGAAGAGGGAATACGACTACTCCGACCTTTTAGAATTCATTAAAGATTTATAATACCATTAATAGCGCCCAGTCAATGTTTATTTCTTTTTACATACCAAATCCAAATTGTACATTAATTTGTTGATGCGGAGAATTTGATGCTGAATATGGTTGAACGTTGCCTTGATATACAAGGTTTTGATTCATTATCGTCGAAGAGTTTGGGTTGTACCATGAAGTTGATGGCATTTGTGTGAGGTTGTTTTGGTCTAACATCGGCGGAGAGTTTATGGCCGTTGCCATACTCGCAGCAACTCTAGCATTCTCCTTCATTCGGCGATTTTGGAACCAAATTTTGATCTGCTTTTCCTGCAGATTTAGCTCCAATGACAGGCTGTATCTCACCGGTCTGGATATGAATTGTACCTTCTTGAACGTCTCCTCCAGCTTGTTTAGCTGGAAAGACGTAAACGAGGTGCGTACTCTCCTCAGTCTTGCTACTCTTTGAGCGTTTTCACTAGCTTGCTCTTGTGCCATCTAATTATAAAGAAAAAAGAAATAAACAAATTAGTTAGAAAATATTTAAAAAAAAAACGTTTTTGTTGATCAACTTACCTCCACATTGTTGTAATAAACTTGATTCTGCATATTGTTCTTATAGTAACACGGCACTACTTTTTTCAATTTGTAATTGTTCTTGTCTTAACGGAAGACACTCGGTTTTTCAATGATGGCCTCAAGATCTCGTCGGTATTTATGCATCGAGTCGGGGTTCTAACCCTGTGGTGGGGATAAACCCTAACCAATCACAAGGCACAAAATGTTTTCCCTGTGGGCATGCTTCCCTCTTCATTTTTTTCTTCTACTTAGAAATATTTCCAAGAACAAACCAACAAAATAATCTTAACTATTTTCAATATTTCAAATATTATATTTTTAACAAATTTTCTAAATTCACAAAAATAAAATTAATAAATTTTCACATTCAATCAACTTCACTCATATTTCAATTAATTATATAAATCTACCGTAATTTCTACATTTGGGATACATCCAAATATAATTAGGGCTGCATGGTTCGTCAGGAATAAACAAATACACAAAGATCTTTATATAGATATGGTTGAGGATACAATAGCAACATTTAGTAGTAGATACCAAAATAAACTATAAACTGGAGTCACATACTAAAGTTCTTGTTGGATATTGGCCTACTCGACAATAGTCGACATATACAGGCTGAAGCGTTGAAAACCACTAGATTTAGTATATAGATTTAAGTAATTATTAATGTTCAAATCATCATAATGGTAATAATTTAATGTTAATTGCGATCTTAAATTTATTCAATGTTCAAATTGATGAACAGATTGTGAAAAAAATTAAACGACATAAAAAAAATCTACTTTGATGACAACTACAAAAAATCTACAATAATTAATTATGAGAATTATTACAAACTTTTTTCCAAAAATTCAATTTTTCGCGCAAAATTATATAAAAAAAAAACAGTAAAATTAAATCATAGAATAAACCAAATTGTTTTATAAAAGATTTTTTTC